CTAGTAAAAAAGAAGAGATGTTTGAGCTGTTGAGATCCCTGGCTAGTAACGGCCATAGAAAGTGCAAGTAGCAAATACTTTAAAAGTTCAGGAATCCTTTTGGAAAGAGATGAAGCACCTTGCAGGATGAGTCAGCAGGCAAATGGAGTAGCATAGCGAAAGGACAGGCAAAGGAAGAGAAACATCAGCCTCCTGCAAAATTATTTCAGCAAATGATACAATCTGCTCTCTGCTAAGTGATACAGTCTGCTGTATACTACTAGCCATATACTACGGAAAAATTGTTTGGATATCGCACATCCTTTTTTAAGGTTCCCTATCAAGAACTGTCCAAACTGTGAATCTTGGGTCAGGTTCACAGTGTCTTATGATTTCTAAACACAGGGTAACTCTTGGTCATCCTAACTAGCGTTGATATTTTGCTTGCCATCTACAGCAGAAACAGCACGGCCACACACAGGAGGACACAACTTATTCATCCTAAAAGCAGACATTAACATTTGGCAAATGTAGTCCGACTAAGAGGACTGAGAACTCCCAACTGCAGAGATGTTTTAAATGCTGGGATATTTCCATCTCTGGCTATCAGGTTTGGAGTCTGGCTCATTTTTTTAAAAAAGGCAGTTTTTCTAGATGGGAAAGTAACACTGATTTCTAGCCAAGTCCTAATTGTTTTCTCCACTTTGCAGATCTGGCAGATTGAGCAGCTCTAATATACTTGCTTTAGCTAAACAAACTGGGATATTCTCAGCGAAGCAGCAGCCGAGCAAAACATCCACAAGCTGTTTTTTCAGCTCGGAAAAAGCATTTTTTATAGCATTTCAGCCTATCCTTTTTAAATCTGTTCTTAAGTCTAGCTTTGATAACAAGCAAATTCATCTCTGTCCTTTTTCTTGAAAGTGCTCTTCTTACTCTTCAATCTTAATTACATCTTCCCACATTAGCATTCATCTACTTCCCAGCGCATTCTGCCTCTCACTTAAATACCTTTTCAGACAGGATGAATGAGGAATCAAGGAGAACTGGTGCATATATGGAAGGCAGGCCGCCTGCAACTTAATCCTTTTAATATTAATGTAATGACACCTGCTACATGAAGATTTAATGGGCAGAAGCACATAACACTTGTAGGATACAGCCCACATACTTGTGGCACTGTCTGCTGCTTGCTAGGATTTGCATTTCCGCATATTGGAGATGCCTGCAGTTGTTCTAAAGGTGCCTATGATGACTGTATAGGGCAGTATGGATTTTGTTCATCTGTCCCTTTAATGAAAGTTGCCTGTGATGCAGTCAGAAAGTGATGACTCGATTCACACTTTTCAATTCACTTCTCCCACCCAAACCGCACTTGGTTGTTTCACAGCCACTATGGCCACGGGCACGACGAAAGCGGCAGCCTCGGTTCCCAAGAGCAGCTTCCCCGGCCCCACAGCTTAGCAGGCAGCTCTCACCACCTTACCCGTCACATGCACAAAGGCAGAAAGGGTGATAAGAGGGTCTAGTGTGCTAAAATGTGCAGTTTTCCAAATTAACTCCATGCGTCCACTGAAGTTGTATTGCACCCTTTGTGGCAATTCCATGGGCATCATTGATTAGATCTATGCAACCTGCCTGAAGATTTCTCTTGGAAGCCGCCTCTGCAGTTGCTTTTTCCTGTAGGCTACAGGAAAGAGGCACAAGCTCCCCATAGCAGCTCTCCTCAGCTGAAGCATTTGAGTGTTTGAGCAGGTCCTTCCATAGGAGGGCAGTGGCAGAGATTCCATGTTCACATGTCATCAATCAGAAATAACTTCAAATCAGGTGATTCCTACAGTTTGCATTTCTTTCAGAAAACTGTCTAGCTCTTATTCTATTTCTGATAGCTTTCCACTAATGATCATTAAATCATCTGAAGGCATCTGCATGACACAAAACTGCAATTCTTAGGATGAGGAACAGAACACAGAAGCCCCATCTTGCATTTCTGGCATGGCAGGGGAATCTGAGCAAAGCACCTGGGGGGGTCTTGTCCCCTGCAGCATTTTCCACTAACACATCACCTAGAAGCAAATGTTACATGACCCGCTGTGTATAAATTTAAACTAGCAACTCATTTTCATCATTTGTTGCTGATACTTCATGCTTTAATCACTACACTATAACAGGTAGAAAGATAACTGCATTTTTGCAGGTCATATCTATTTTTGCGAGAGTTCATTACTTCATTCACACCTTGGTTTTTCCACTTTTTTTTTTTTCCATTTAGAACCCTAATATCCCATTTCTCCTACTGAGTCCCTTTGCTTAACATTTCTGTTGCTTTTCTACACATAAAACATGTATGAATTTTACCTCGGAGCACTGTAAGAGAACCCAGTTGTTACTAAAATCCTGATTTTCAGCTGGAAAGCTGACAGATTTCTCTACAATTCTATTCACCATCTGATTCACCTGAATTCTTATGGGCAACCTCACTGATTCACTTTTCCTCATCTGACACTTCTTAGCACAGAAGAACACGATCTCCAGCAACATTTCCACATGTAATTCCAAGGGACTTAATTTTACCACACTCTCAAAAGTAAACCCAATTCTATGACCAGTATGAAATGGAATTTCTATTTCACTTCACCCAAAGTTCCACCTACAGAAAAATATTTGCACTAAGATGTTGCAGGAGTATTTTCATGGTCATATATTCAAACTGCAAAGTGCTTGCTTTCCAAATAGCATGACTGATCTTGCAATTACCTGAGGACATAAACATGATAGAAACCTTTTGCAGGGCAGCCCACACCTTCACAAGGACCTTCAGGGAAATCCTGATTCCCTTCTAAAAATGCTATTTGCCTGCTTCCAGATTAACGATTGGCTAAAGAATAGGAACTTGACTGTCCAGAGATGCAGATACATAAGCACTGCCCTTGCAAAAAGGCAATGAAGGAAAGCACATGTACCTTAAAACCAGCAGCCAACCCTCCCTTTATCAACACAGATATGGCACAGCAAGTTAAAAGAAGGATAAATGGGACACAGCATTTACAAATCTGTGGAATTTCTTGGAGAATTCAGTTATAAGGGCAAAACAGAGTGTACAACTGCAAAATCCATTAGCATCACTCAGGCTTTTCAGTCTGAGAAGGCTAAATAACAGCACTGGCTGCCAACACCTTGATGAAAAGCAACAGTAAAGAACAGTAAGAAGCAAGCAGATTCCTTTAATTTCATTTTGTTTAAACTGCTACTGCTGTAAATCCGGAAGAGGGATTCTCTTTCCTCTCTGCACTCTTTATGTAGCAGCAGCTACTCAAACCACATAAAGTGGGCCAAGTTTTCACCCCTAACATTTCACGGAGTTCAGAGCTGTCTGAAGGAGGAACAAGGGATCAAGCAAATTCACAGACTATACAAAACAGGAGCCATATTGCAACCTTGAGCCACTACACCACTCACAGTAAACCTGTATACTGACCCTTGACTTCAAATGTATGTGGAAAATTTGAATAAAATCTAGGCTGCATCTTCCAAAGCTTCAGGTTACTAATCCCCTTTTATTTCAAGAACTAGGAGGTTTTGGTCAAACTTTCACAGAGGTCACAAGAACAATAACCTTATGCTCCCACAGCCAGAGGGCAGCTAAAAGGTATCTCATAACTTAGTGCTTCAAGGACAACTGCAGGAGGTAAGTGGTGGTCTGGTGATCCAGAAAACCAGCCATGACCCTGATTTCTTCAGCAGAAGACAAACAACTTCTATATGAGTTTAGTGATATAAAGCAACACTAGTGTTCCAGCAGGTAGCCCACCAACCTCATCACTATGTGATTCAAGGGGCAAACAGAATCAATTATGCTTTGGGCAAACACAGGTGCAACAGTATTATATGATGGTAGATGAAGCAGGGACATAATGAGGGTAGAGAGGACATTTGGTTCCTCTGTGATGGAGAAAACACAAAATAATACAAGTTTTCTTCTGTAAGAAGAACACAGGTCAGAAAAGAACAAAACTGTTCAAATGTTACTGGGCTGGTAGTATGGCTATTAGAAGAAAGTAAAAACAAGAACCTGGGAAGTTGGAGGGCTGTGACCTTGCAGCACATATAAAAGTGCCAAGGTGAGGCTGAGGAGGCAGGTCAGCTGCTCATGCTTTAAAGACCATTCCAGCAGATTATTGATCCTGGGCAAAGCTTGTCTTTTGCAGCTGGTCTGAAAGAGGAGAACAACATCCTTCTGCTACTCCCCGGGGCAGACCTCACCAATTCCTCCACGAGGGACATACTTCTTTGCCCTGCCTTCTTCAGCATGAAAAGTTGGCATATGTCAGCATGTATTTTTAAATAAAACACAAACTCCACCAAAGCAAACATAAAACCCTCTCATGAAGATGTTTATCTTGCTTGTAAGAAAACCACCAACCCATGAGACATGAGTTGTGCTGCCTACTGCCACTGCTGGGCGATGTTCAGGATATGCACACACCGCAGACAGTGCAGCATGCACAGACCTGAGCTAGATTTAAGCTAAATGACTTAGGCCATGGCAGTAATCTAGCTGTAGTAGCAGGAATTGCAGCACAGCTAACATGCCCTGTTGAGGGAGGATAGCTACAGCATAAGACCTTACACAAAACAACAACTTAGAACAAAGGCACTGTACCTTGGAATTCACACAGCAGTGTGACACAGTCTGTCTACAGATTTTAAAGCATCTTTGGGTTGCACCATAGGAGAAATGACACTTACACACGCAAATACTCCATTTTAAATAATAATCTTGTCAAAACTCTGCTTTGGACATTACCTTTTCCACTTTCCAGACAGGAACTGATAGGAGACCAGAGCAGAACAACAGAAAAACAGAACATCCAGAGGAGCATCTGAGAAGTTCTTTTGGATTGGCTTTGTGATTTTAGATGCACACAGAACAGAGGACTTCTGAAGTAAGTCTTCAGTATTTCTGGAGATAAATCTTTATTCACAGAATGTGCAATAGCTCTTTCCAAACTTTATGCAAAAAAACCCAAATTCTAATGAAGGCACAAAAGAAGAAGAAAAAAGCAATGCAGCAGTGTTCCAAGAGAATACATAATTCACAAGTTTAAAATTCAACTGCTCCTTCCTATGCCTTGAGCTCTCTTAAAATATTAACAATCAAATCTCTTCGGTAAGTGTATGGGGTATACTTTATTCTGAACCAATGCCTTGGGAAAAGGTTACCACTAGGGGCATATACTTTTACTCCTTGTTTGCCCATCAGAGTACGAAGGACCCTGTTGCGGAACAAGATTTTGTCATAAAATTCCACCCCACCTCTGGCATAGTCTTTGGAAATGGTAGCTGCTTTTCTGTCAGCCTTGCAGTCTAAGTGATGGGTCACAGCATCAGAAGAAACATAATAGCAAATTAATCCAGTGGTAGCAACTATGAGGTTACAGATACCACGAAGTATCACAGGGCCAGGACTTAAACCCAGAACTATCTTTACACCTATCCCACTAAAATATGTACCAGCTAAGCAGGCTGGAGCCACAGCTGCATTTACCAAAGGGCTGCCATTTTGCAAATACACAATTTCTCTGGCAATTGCAAACTTCTGAGCTTCAGGTGAGAATGTCAGAGCTTCCCTCAAAGCAACACCTTCATTGCTCTCCCAGTCTACTTGCTTGTCGTTGATCACCACCACATGGTTGACTATTCCCTTTTTATCCTCAGTTGTGCTATCAAAATTAGGAGGGAGGCCCACGAAAGAGCCTGCAGGAAGCCATGGGATTCCAGCACTCACTGGGAGGAAGCCAGAAGCTGCAAAGGCCTGATAGGAGTTTGCAGATTTCACACGAGTATCTTGAAGGACATCATGAAAGAGGTCATGGAGGCTCTGGGACAGCTTAGCTGGCTGTCCACCTGACCAGCACTCATGTAACTCTTTGAACGTCTGCTCAGGAAACACATGATAGGAAAGGTTAGCACCAAACAGTCCCATGCAAGAAACGGCCAACAAAGTGGTCTTGTGCTTCTTAACCCATGCAGATGCCTTCTGCAGGAACCGTGCTCCCATAGCCAGATCCTAACCTGTTTACAACACAAAACCAGGAATTAAAGTATGCATAAATGCGTAGCTCATGTCTAAGATTTTAAACACAAATCAAATAACTGACAAAATATTATCTTTTACATAAAGGAAATAAAAATACCTCCGCAAAGAAAATGATACTCATTCATTCTTGGGCTTCAGAACATAGGATAATTGATACGAAGACTTAGTTTCTCCATCTTTTCCAGTAAATCAATTTACTGTAATAAAGAGAAAAATGCCACCATATTTCCTCCTCCCACAGCAATTAACATACATCTGATATTTACTCAACATACTTACATAGCCTTTCCCAGCACAATCCTACTGTTGCATTCCATGAGACACACAGACCAGAGATACTTAGGCCAGAAAAAGCCATTAACTTGATTAATCTACTCCAACCTCCTCTACGGTACAGCTCTAAGAATTTTCCTTAGACTCTCAATACTGACCTCAGTAATTCCAACTACTGAGCTCAGTAACTCAAGCTTAACTAAAATACAATATCCAATCCAATTAATGTCAATCCAATAAAATATGCCTTAATCTAAAAATTTCAGGAGACAGAATTTTCCCTTGGAGTCAATTCTAATGGTTAAATCGCCTCATCATCTAAAAATAATAATAAAAAAATTAAAAAAGCAAAAAAAGTGAAAAGTGTTTTGTGTTATTCCTAATTTATCAGATTTCAACTTTCTTGCAGTAGTTCTAGTTAACTCAGGAGAAAAAATGAAAAAAAGTGTTTTTAAAAATTTGAACTGTTAAATATTTACTCTGAAATAATTTATCTGACAAATAATATCTATAATTCAGAGCAGAAATCAGAACAGAAATTGTTTCAGGGCAGAAGACCATCTTGTGACTGTTTAAATAAGTAGATAAACATAAAAACTTTCAAACCTGCCAACTTCTTCAGTTCAAGAGTCCTGCTTCCCTTAGGGAGCATCAGTTCCTTTTATGGTCCAAGCCATAGGATGTGTTCTGCCCAGGAAAGCTCCAGTGTCCTAAAAAAAATCCCCATGACTACAGAATTCTCATCTAAAAGGATGCTACCATAAAAATGAATTAGGCACCTAAACCCAACAGACACCATTGTCAATTGTGTGCCCGTGATCCTGTTTGCATCTTGCAAAGTTTCTTTTCTCAGGGCTTTAACATAGGAGCTTTGGAGGATCTTGCTGCAGCTGTTTAAGATTTGACTTAATTTCCAGCTGTCCTTACAGGAAGGCAGAAGGGAAGCGTGCTTGCCTTCAACAACCAGGTCTTAGTGTGGAGGGCCATCAAAGGTGGGTCTCAGCTATGCTGCTGGCCTTGTCCTGCAGCAGCTGAAGTGCAGACATATGTTCTTTGCTCGCCCTTATGCTGAACAAGAACCTCCCACAGAAGGGCAGAGTGGACAACTGGGGCTGTAACGTGCCAGGCACAATCAACAGCAAAAGAGTATTAACCACAGAGAGACAAAAAAGGATTAAGTTAAAGGTGATGCCTAATGATATGTTATTGCAAATCCTACAAAGTTCTTTTACACTGCAAATTCACCACCGGGGGAATAATCTTGTTTAATGTTTGCACTGCTCTCAACTCATACAGAGTCCTTAATAAAGCACAGAGCCTAATAAAAACAATGATGCATGGAAGCACGCGATGGTACAATGTACATGTCTTAGTGCGATACGCGAAGGCATGCTTACATGCCAATGAAGACTGGGGGTGGTGATTTGCTTGATAGAATCATTTAAGCTAAAAAAAGAAAAAGAAAAAAAATCATGCTAAGGAGACTAGAGCTTGGAAGAAATCCAATTTTGGGAGAAAACATCCTTAGCAATGAGTTAAAAAAAAAAAACAGAAATTATCACAATAGACTGTATGCAGGAAGCACTGTGTTTACCCACACGCATCTCCCAAACTGCCCCAATAACGGGATCCACCTCCAGGGCACAGGCACGGGCTCCCCAGCACAGGGGAGCTTCCTTTCTCCCAGTTCAACCAGGGGCATTTCAGCAGGTGCCCTAGTCCTTGGTCTCAATCCGGTATGGATAGACCCCTCACAACCCACGGTATATCTTTAACGGGACTAAGTCCTATAGTCATAGCACATACCTATTGCAAGCATAAGCAGGAAATATCACCAGAGAAGTTCTTCATCTTCTCATGACAGTCAATACTAACCAAAAAAAAAAAAAACCTCTCAGTATCTCAGTATGGTGTTTTAGCCCCAGTGTTTTCAAATTTCCTCCGCAGCTCAGCCCAGATCCTTAGCTCATATAAACCCCCCGGCTTCATGGGGCACGTTTATTTTTATGCATAAGCCCTGTGTGATTTATGGGCTGCACACACAGACGGGTCCCTGCAAACCCGTGGCCACCTGGCTACAGGGAAAAAGCCATCTCGGCCTCTGCGAGCTGCTCTCCACTAACGCTGCGGAACCGGCCTGGTTTTGACCCTACCATTTGAATAAATAAAGAATATATTTTGTACACATACGCATATATTCATATATCTCCCATTTAATGCAAAATATCCTCCCTTCCCCCCTGCTACCGCCACCACATGAACTCCAGGGTCACCAAGGCGCCCTCCCGGCTTAAAACTTTAAATTATAACTCGGGAAACGAAGCGGGGAGACGTGTCCGCCTGCAGGGCTCAAAGTCAGATCCAGACCCGGATCAACCCCAGCACCTACCGAGGCGGCCGCGGAGCCGAGCCCGGAAAGC